GGACAGTGTTGCCAATGACATTCAGCAAAAAACGAGCCAGCGACTCACGCAGTCACCTCACAACAGCCCTTCGCATCAAGGAAACCACAAAGCCTTCACACTCTTGTCGCCTGGCTATCAACTCCGATACCCGCCCCCCACCCCCAAACCGTCCATAGCCGTCGCCCCCTGACCACGAAGCGACGTGCCTGGCATCTCCAGGCGCGTCATCCTGCACGCAGTCCCACAGCACCTCCATTCCGCTCATCACGCCGCTCCGCGCACGGCTGCTCTCTTCGCCGCCGCCGCCGCCGCCGCCGCCGCCGCCGCCGCAGCCGCTTGCGGCTGCGGCAGCGGCGGTGTCGGTTGGGGCGGTCACCTCAAGCTCCGCGGCCTTTTTCGTGCCGAGCTCGGTGACTCTTTCCTTCTCCAGCTGCGGGGAGAGAGGGAGACGGGAGCCGCGGGGGGGGGGGGGCCTTTGTTTTCGGTTCCCTTTGTTGAAGGAACCTTGTTTTGGGATGTTACAGCCCGCGATCGTGGCGACTGATTTATCGTGTCTTGAAGATCAACGCGGAGGTTATCGCAGAGGTGCTGGCTGCACATCAGAACAGTTCTCTCTCCCCCAAAGAAGACGACAGAATCTTCCTAACTGCCTGTGTGGCGGCCTCCACTGCTGTATTATCTCTTCGAGTGATGCCGAGAAACCACCATACGCTACCTTCATGGAAATAGGCGAAGGTGCACGGTTGAACCGAACGCAACGGTTCTCAGAACGTTCCGACAACATCGGCAGGAAGCTCACACAGCCACAACGACATCACCCCCCCAAGCGCTCCAAACCTTCATGGTAGCCGTGGCAAGGTGCCTCAACAAGACGAGGGTGCGCACGTCGAACTCGCACTTGGGCAGCTGGCGGGCGAACGAGTTGATCAGGCCCAGCTGCTCCTTGACAAGGTGAGGGAAAAGCCCCTGCAGCAGCTGGAGCACGGCGTGCCGGATGGACTCGTGCGCGGACTCCCTCGCCGCGTCCCAGATGAGCTTGAGGTGATCGTTCGACAGCTTGTTGAGCCACGCCAGATACCGCGGGATGTCTCCGGACCTGTCGCGAGCGCGAAAACAGGGTGTCCCACGGGGCTCGGCCCACTATGGACTGCTGCTGCTTCATCAGCACGGCCAGAAAAAAAAAAAACGACTACCGGATGTTGCACCTGCGCCACTGACGCACTGATAACGCTTGGCTCAGTGTCGAACGCCCCCTGTCATGACCACCGATCAACCGTGTCGTCTACGCATTGATCAATCTACCTTTAGTTGCACACATTCTAGGATCAACATATCATGGTCCAAAATCAAAAACACCCAGCAATGTGGCACGAGTTGACGCGCTGCCGCCAAAGGTGTAAAAAAAAAGACGACGCAAACCAACAAGTAGGACTTTCAGCCGCAAAAAGATGCCGCGCGGTGTATCTCCGTGTCCCGTCGCATCCTTAACCGCGTGTGAAAGGCAGACCGCTGGTGTACCGCGAGACAATTGTTGTGGCCAAGGAAGAGCGCAGGTGCAAGGATACGCCTTAAAAATAACAACCAGCACAGAGGCAAAACCCCAATCCTCTGGTCGCAGCTTCGACTCACCGCTTCAGGGTCTCCGTGTGAAGAAACCCGGCGCTGAACAAGAGCTCTATCAGCTCGTCATTAATCATCCAGTCCGCCAGGTCATGGCCGACCCAGTGCTTGTCATCGAACTCACTCGCCATTCGCTCCCGGGAGTAATCAGAGTCGGCGTTGTTGCCAGGCGAGGAGAGCGCCTTTGTTCGCGCCGCCGCGCGGTCCTCGATCTCCTGCGAAAGCAACGCGCGCGTGTGATGATGACGTCAAAAAACGTCGTGGGGGGGAGCACTAATGTAAACGCATGCCGGGACGGAGCGATATGCCGGGGGGGTGAAGGGGTTTCTCTTTTGGTGTGCACGAGAGTGATCCGAAACAGCTTCTGGAAATTCAGATTCTGTCGTGTTTGTCGGGAGGCCGTCAAAAGTCGCACAGATACATCTCCATTTGGTGTATGCGCTCACAGACGGAGAGACAACACGATTGGACACGAGAAGAGACGGGGGGGGGGGGGNGGGGGGGGGGGGGGGGGGTACTGTTCCCGGCCGCGAGAAGGCAATACGTAGCCAATGAAAAGTACTTCCAAGTCAGTTAAGTGACGTACAGAATAGACGCACGCACGACCCCACTGTACACCAATGGACGCTTCTAAGGACATAATCGCCCCACAAAAATAAACACACACACACACACACACACACGCACACGCACACGCAACAGAAAAAAAAAAAAACACGCGACGGAGCACACACCTTCTGATGGGCCATTTGGAATAGCTGCCGCTGCTGGTAGTGGTGAGCGTGCGAAGAGTGCATGTTGTGGATTGCCTTCCCAAGCTCCATAAGCCCGGACAGACGCACTTGAAGGGTTGGGCCCTTGAGGTACTCGAGGCACAGGCCGTACCTCGTCTTCATCACGGCCCTCTTGTAGCCGATCGGCAGCTTCGTCGGTATGCGGTCTATCAGGAAGCTACACCCCCCCCCCCCCCCCC